AGCCCAAGGGTTAGGAACCTCCCCAAGGCACAGAGAGCAGTTGGAAGAAGAAAGAGCAGAAAGAATGGAAGATCCAGGCCTGTGAATAGAGTGGGCTCCAAAGACTGGCCCTGGGGCCAGGGACAAAACTTCTAAGAACAGCAGACAAGGGGTGCCCATGTCCTTCCCATGCTACCATCCCTGCAACTGCCTCTTCCTTAACCCCCATCTGCACACAATCACGGGGACGCAGGGGACAGGCCCAATGGAAGTAAGAGGAAAATCAAATTGGCAACATCAAAACGATAGAAAATAGGCTTAAGGTATCAAAGTGTGAGAGAGTTTAGAGGAAGAAACATCAAATTGTCACCTTGCAGGATAATTACTCATGGATCTATTGCAGGAAAAGATCTGATCTTTGAGCTTCATTCCAACTGGATGCCCTGAATAGGAGAGCTTTGGAAAACCTAGCCCCTTTCTGTCTACAAATATGGTCTTCAAATCTACCCAATCTGCAGATCAGGGGTGGGGATGAATCCCCAGAACGTAGATGCCTAGAAACCCCAACACTTTGAAACTCTCACTTATCTCGCTGCCATCTCAGAGACTCTGTAAGCAATCCTCTCTAGATCCAGAGGTCAGCAAGGCTGGGAGACTGCAGACACTGCAGGCGGCGTGCCCACTGCACTGACTCTGAGGACCCCCAGAGGAGGAATCTGTGGCTACACACAGTCATTATGGGAGGGACTGGTTCAGGCTGCAGCCACGGGGAGGCAGGTTAGACTTCAGGGGGCACCTTCCTGGGGGCAGGGAAGGACACAGGGAACTTAGTTCAGAAGCAACTCTGGAAACACACACACACACACACACACACACACACACACACTGTCTGGACTTAAGTGAGGATGAGTCTGGGAGGCAGAAGCAAGAGGAACACAGCTGAGAACGGGGAAAGGCGCACTAGGACGAGAAATCCCACAGGGCTCAGATGGGGGTCACTTGTGGGCCCTGTTCCAACCATCAAAACCTGTCTTTGCACCCCAAATCTCCAACACCCCAAAAAGTAGAGGAGACAAGAAAAGAAGAATGGATGATAAGAGGTTAAGGGAATTCGGGGAGGCACAGGCTTGTGGTGACAAGATGGGGAACAGAGTGGGCAATAGAGGATGGGCTGGAGGATGTAGGAGAAGACGGGGTAGAAATGACGGCAAATTCTTGCAAGAAAATATACTAGCAGGGCCCAGCTGGACCTGGGGCAGGAGAAATGATGTGAACCTAATAGAAGTACTAGAACAAGGGGGTCAAGAAGGAGGGGGTGAGAAGGTGGGAGAGAGAGTGAGAGGACATCAGAGAAGGGACTGATAAAGGGGAAGGACAGAAGGGGGACCCATATAAGGAACGGACACCATATGGGGGGAAAGATATAGGTGATGGACACCAGAGGAGGGAGGGGGAACTGGAAATAAGGATTGGGGATGGGGGAGGGGAGTAAGAGTGGTGGAGTGAATGAAGCAGATAAGACCCCAGGGGTTACATTGTCCTGGTCAAGGGCCTGAAAGAGGTTTGGGCAGTGTAGCCTGCCCCTACTCCCATCACTCAGTCTCACTTGCATTCCCCCTCCCCCTCCACAAACACACACACATTTGGCCCTCCCCCTGCCCTGGTCTCTCCTCCCCCAACCCATTCCCTCTCCTCTCTTCCCTCCATCTGGACCCTCTCTTCCTCCCCCCACACACACTGCCTCCCTCTCTCTCCATCTGGCCCCTGCTTCTCTTCCTCCATCCTCCTCTCTTTTTCCATCCCATCCCATTCTCTGACCCCCCACCCCCCACCATATTCTGAACCCCATCTTCTTGGCTCCTCTTTGCAACCCTATGTTTTCATTTCTCCCAGCCCCTCTCCCGACTCTGCCCTTCTATTTCCTTGATATTTTCCTCATCTCTTAGCTTCAAAATTATTTCTGCAGCTCTTCCTCCAACCCTATCCCATCTTCCCACCCTTTCTTGCGATCTCTTCTTTCCCCTTCATTTTCACCTCAGCCCTCTTTAAGGCCTGTCTCCTGGCCCCTCCGGTCCCTATCTCCCCTGTCCCCTGGCCTTCAATCCCTCCTTCCTCACTGCTCCTATCCTGTCTTCCTAGTCCTCCTGTCTCCCTCCATTTCAGCAGCTCCCCTCCTTGGCCTCGGCTCTGCCCCCTCCTCCGCCCTGCCCCTGCCCCTCCCCCCTTT